TCCCCAGCAGACCCCCAGCCCCTCCCAGTGCCCATCTGCAGCCCCCAGCACCCCCCATGCCCACCCGCAGCCCCCAGCTGCCCCTGTGTCCAACTGTAGCCCCCCTGGTGCCCATCTGCAGCCCCCTGGCTGTCCCCCATGCCTGTCTGCAGTCCCCCCAGCAGACCACCCTGCCTTGGGTTTCTGCTGGGACCGAAATGCAGTGTCTGGGTCACCATGACTGCCCACGGAACTAGGTGACACATTCCGACAGAGCCCACGGAACTAGCTGACACGTTCTGACGGTGCCCATAGAACTAGCTGACACGTTCCAACGGAGCCCACGGAACTAGCTGACACGTTCTGACGGTGCCCACAGAACTAGCTGACACAGTTCATTTTGCTTCACATATAAACCGAAATAGAGTAAAGAGCCTTGGTGAGGATTCTCGGTGCTGTAAGATGTAAGCGCGTAGGTGAAAGTGTTTTGTGAGTAAAGGGGTTTCTGCGGGCATTGACACAACGATTCTCCAGCTGACCCTGGGACTCAGCATCCCAGCCTTTCCAAAAATATAGCTCAGAGTCAGTCGGCGTTTTCCGGATTGTGTCATCAGAAAGCGACTCCCGTTTCCACGAGGCTGTTCTCTCTGGGATCAGTGAGTTTTCCAGCACGTGGGACCTTGGTTCCATCTTCCCTTGGTTCCAGGATGGAGGGGAGTGGCTCCTTCCTCAGAGCGTGGCCGGAGGGCAGGCGTGCTGCAGCTGCTGTGTATGGTTTCATTAGCAGAGCACGTTTCTCTCCAGCAGGCAAACAAATGCAAAAAGGCATTGCCCTTTTCCCAAAAAGGAGGGCAGCCTGGGTCCCACCTGCATGGGGTGGAGCTGGGGGTGGCCTGGGTCCCATCTAGACTGAGGGGGGGAGGAGCTGGGGGTGATGTGGGTCCCATCCAGATGATGGGGAGAGCTGGGGGTGCCCAGGGTCCTATCCAGACGGTGGGGAGCTGGGGTGATTCAGACCCACAGCAGTCAGCCTCTCATGGGCCATTTCCCCTCCTGCTGTGCCCGATCTTACGGCTTGGGCATTGGGGGCACGGTCTAGGCTCCCACTCCTCACCCCTACTGCTCTGTCCAGCCACAAATCTGCAGAAGTGCATTTTCCAAGCTTGTCATGGACTGTGACGGCCTCAGCAAAGGTC